TTTTACGAATTTTTAAAGTTGCTCCAAATGCCATGTACTGTACTGCAGCTCATGAAGCTCATGCTGTTTAACTCACTTAGAAATTAGAATTTTTATATTATTTTTATTATTATTTCCAGGCAGAGATTAATGAATGTCTGTCTTTTAACTGATAATGATTTCAGTCCGAGAGACATTTTGGAACCATGTGAGTTTATTATTAATATTTAATTAACGACTAGTTAATTAACCATTACAGCTCCGAAAAGATTACAGAAACATTTGAGGTAAAAAAATAGCTATTACAAAATTAAATGTATTCTTATTTTATTTTAGTGCTGTTGTCAATTATGTCAAATTTTTTAACTTTGCTGAGCAAATTAGTAACACTGAAGGGAAAAGGAAAGAAATTGTGAGTGTGTGTAAAATTGCTCTTATATTTTATAATAGTTTTTTTTTAATTTTATACACTGTACGTTTGTGTAGGAAGAGTTGAATGAGAAGCTAAAGGCCTCAGTGACCAGCATAACTGATATCCAAAGAGAAATAGCTGAATTAGAGTAACTAATGATAGCTTTGTCTCTGTTCCTCTTACTTTCTTTTTTAGAGAAAGTAAGGAGGCAAGAAAAGAAGTTGAAGATGCAAGGAAGCATCAAATTGCTGAGCAAGAGCACGAACTTCGAGATCTCAAGACTCACATGGTAACATTCAACATTCAGTACATGTATATTTATTATTAATTTTATATGTTTTTAAAGTCAAATTTAGAGTCTAGGTTAAAATTGGCAGAAGAATCTCAAGAAAGAAGCAAAAAAGCTCATGTAAGATCTTATCTTTAGTATTATGATTATCTTTAGTATTATGTAAGATCTGAGTTTTGGTATTATGATTAATCTTTTCCTTTTTAAACCTCCCCCCTCTCTTTTCCTTGCCAGTCGACTGCTGAAGAAGATTTGAAGCGATCAGATGACAGAATCAATGATCTCAAAATGCAAGTGGTCACGTCGCCCCAAGAGCTCTATCAGGTGTCCACGAGTCATGTGACCATCATGTGACTATCATGTGACTCCTGTCTTGTTTCTGTAGAGTGTTGATGAGGTACGTAAAGATCTTGAAGATAAGAGGAACGTGAGAGATGAGACCATCGGTAATGCCACCATGTGGGAGACATTGGCTAAGAAAGCATCTGATGTAACACCAGTAAGAGAGAGGGAGGGGGGGAGAGAGAGAGAGAGAGAGAGAGAGAGAGAGAGGGAGAGAGGGAGGGAGAGAGAGAGAGAGAGAGAAAGAGTTGGAACATAATATAAATAATACCATTTTACTGGAAAATTCATCACATGTACTTACGATAATTATGTGTTTTTGTATTATTAGTCTGTGGATGATACTATTGGAGAAATAGATGAACTGTCACATCTGGTTGAGAAGACAATGTATGTGTATTTGTGTTTTTTTAATAAAATATTTATAATCTAATTCTTTCCTCTACATCCCTCACTCTCTCTCTCCTTCATTGTTCTATGTACATGTAGTCAGCTTGATAATGATTTAAAGAGATTAATGGACTCTAAAAGAAAGCTAACCCAAGAACTTAAATCAAAGATATCGAGGGACCAGGTACTATAGAAATCTATTTATAAGTACATGTACATGTACATGTACTTGAAAATATATTTTTTTAGAATTATTTGTTTGTATGTATTTTTAGAACCTGTCTGGTCAAGTCAAAAAGATTGATGAAGAGATTAATGGTTTATCACAATACAAACGTACTCTCTCTTCCACTGATGGGGACTCAGAGCAGCAAAAGTATGTACATATTCAATGAATGGTTGCACAAGATGGTGACAATTAACTCTCTCTTCTTCTTTCTCAGGGAGATAGAGTCTTTTGAGCTTATTTTAGAGAACAAGAAAGAGAAAGACAAGGAAATGTTAATGGAGCTTGAAGAAACAAAACAAAAAGTATACACTAACAGCATGAGAACCTATTCACTTTTTTGATACTTTGGGCTACCTCTCTCTCTCTTCCTCCCTCTCTCTCTCTCTCTCTCTCTCTCTCTCCCTCCCTCTCTCTCTCCCTCTCTCTCCCTCCCTCCCTCTCTTTCTCTCTTCCTTGCAGCATTCTAAAAGGATCAAAGCTTTCGAAAAACTAGAGACTCAAGTCACTAATGAAATCACATTAATGAAGGAAACAGTTAGTTTATGAACCTACTACAGTGCATCTCAAACAACAGCTTGAATACATTGTACATGTAGTTCTATAAATAGATTCATATGATTCTATAAATAGACAGAATTACATGTATAATTTACAATTTCTATTGCAGTATCACACTTATCAGAGGAGACTGGAAAAAGTGAACAAGCCATTGAACTCAATAAAGAAATCTCTTTAAAATACACACGCACACACATCTATAGATTACATTATTATTGTCAGATTTTGATTAATGAAAACCATTAATACAGTAGTTGCCATTGTGTAGTAGCAGTAGTGTAGATCTATATGGCACAGTTATTGATGTTATTATTATTATCTGTTATATTTATATCATGTAGCTTTCAAGTGTACACGGTGATTAAACTTTTGTAATTAAATCATAAAATTTGACACTTGATTTTAAAATGCTCTCCTAGCAGTCCGCCCACGGGATTCATTAAAATTCTAATTTTTAACCCTTTTAAACGCCATTTTGTTTAAGGTCAACTCTGTTTTAGCTCGATTTTGTCTTTTAGCTCATGAAAGATGAAGTTCTCTCACATTCTCTTCTCTCATCTAACCCCAGAGTGGAGAGCACACTACATAGACTATGACGTAAGACCTTCTTTTACTTATACAGACTCTACTTCACCTCTCTTCCTCCCTCAGGCTTTAAAAGTGTTAGTTTACAAGATGGTCTCTCAGGATTGGACCAAGAAAGACGAAGACGGTGAGCTCCTTTTCATTTAAGACTTTTGTTTATGTGACACGCCTTCACCACACCTCCATAACACTTCTCTCTCTCTCTCTCTCTCTCCTTCCTTCATATTCTACAGATCTTGATAGACTCATTCCTCCAGTTGATGAAGACAAACAGACCGAGTTTTTTGATGAGATACAGCGACAACTGGATGGAGTCAACTCATTTTATAGAGGTACATGTACATTATAATGAATTATGATCCATTGTCACGAAATCCGTGACAAGCAAAAACCCATTAGTTCCATTGTCATGAAATTAGTGACAAGCCATTAGTTCCATTGGCAACGATATTTTGAACTCTACATCTCTCATTTTATTTGTCATGCAAATTTAAAAAAAAATTATACATGTACATATGTACAGTTTACTGTCCCTCCCTCTTCCTCCCTATTGTTAGTACATGAGTCTGAATTGAGTCACCAGCTTCAACACTTAGCGGAACAAGTTGACACTTTCTCTCAAGCTCATCGTATCAAAAACTCAAACAGGAAAAGAAATTCGCTAATCAAGGCTTTCTGTGAATTTTACTATCACCTCTCTCTCCTTCAAAACTTTCAAGTAACTACTTCAGAAACGCACAT